ATTCTATTCTATTCTATTCTATTCTATTCTATTCTATTCTATTCTATTCTATTCTATTCTATTGATTAAAAAAATAAAAAGCCTTAGGTAAAGAAATAAAATAAAAACTTGTTTGGTAGAGTTTGGTCAGTCAGGCTCATTTGTTCAGTTTTTTTGTATTTTTTATTTATTTTTTTGCTATACTAATCTCACATTATAGGGTTAAGGTTAGTATTTACTGTACAGCTCTGTGCACTGTGTGAGAAACAACTGGAGTATTGTTTCTAAAACACCACAGTGAATTTAAAAAAGAATAAACTGTAATTATGTAACCGGTGAGGAGATGGGAACGTGTCCGACCTTCTCCAGAAGCTCGTAGTCCATCTTGAACGCCCACAGCTGCAGACGAGCTGACAGCTCTGTGATGGAGGAGAGGGTGAGCAGGAACTGCTCCGCGCTGCCCAGAGGAATGTCCGGGTTCATCAGCTGAGCCTCCTGGATCTTCTGCTTCTCCTCCTCGGTGGGGATCATTGGGAGGATTTTCTAGGAGGAGGAAGAGATGAGGATAAGTCATTCAAACATCAAAGTTTCTCCGTATAAAACCTGTACGTGCTTTGTCTGTATGTCCGTGGCTCTGTCTTCTAAGCCGTTTCCAGCATTCCCAMAAAAACATTCAGCATCTGAACTTTCAACCTTGCTTTTGTTGTCCTGCTGCAAATACCTTCAGAGGGGGAAAAAAAAACTTGGAGAGGAATCTCCTCCCTGCTGAAAATAAACCCAGGGAGAAGCTCTAAACTGCAGCTTATATAACTGAAGTATGCAGGATTAACTGTTACCTGCTGACATGAAGCCCTTCAAATACCCATCATTCAGTTTTTAAAATGAACTGAAAACAACCTCAGACAGCCAGAAATGGAAAAGGTTAAACGTGCAGCCAGAAAAATCCAAACTTTAACTAACAGATGAGCAGTAAATAGTTTGAGTGCTTATTTTTGCTTCACCTTAAGACTGAAGCTTATATATACAGTATATAAAACAAAAGCTTACCTCAATGCCTTCCTTGTTTAGTGCATACTCATCGAAGTTAAGAATAGCTGTCTTTATTGTGCGAGGGGGTGGTAAAACTGTTAGTCCGATGTTTATCGCGTTGCTGCGCTTTGAATCCAAGACAATGATCTCCTGTCGTTTGCCATCAACTGCTGCTTTCTAAGGGATGGAAAAAAAGACAGATTTAATTTAGACCAGTTTATTTTGGGCGAAATATGTTTGATAAATCTACTCCTGATTGACGATTTAATCCCATTTCCATGTATACAGTTTAGACCACGTGTCAAACTCAAGGCTTGTGGGCCAAATGCAGCTCACCACAGCATTTTATGTCCCACAAGAGTTTCAAAGACGTACTGTCTTAAAATAAGCACATGCTGCTTTAAAGCCAGCATTGACAAACTACATCTCCCATAATGCTTGTTGATTAATTTACCAGCAAAGTGCCAGCATCCCACCACTAGGTGGAGGTGCACAGGATTATATGGCAAAATTCGCAGTGTAAAATCTCCATTTGGCTGCATTTTCATTGGTTACTTCTGCCAGTTGTACAGGGAAGTGGGAATGTCCCACTTACAAGTCGTAAATCTGGGCCATTAATCCGCCAATTGGTTCATTCATCTCTTAAGCCCAAACCCCCAGTTCTCTACTTTAATTACTATAAGTTCTTTTAATTAGACATAGATGTGTGCTATCTACAGAAACGTCAGAACCTTGGCTACAAGCTGATAAAAACAATTTTTACAAACATCAAAGACAGTTAAAACTACAAGCAGTTGAAGATAAAATTACAAAGGTGAAGAAAAAAATTGGTTTAAAAATTAGGCAGGTCAGAGATGTCGAAATAATATTTGTGTTAAACAGGAGGCAGAATGTGTTCCTTTTGTTTTTGATATTGTTTAATTATCACTACATTTATAGGGTTCTGTATGTTGTATTCATGATCAAATGCAGCAAAATAAACTATTTCAGAGGTAACAGATCTTTGTAACACTTGGTTTATTTGCATAATAACTTTAATTGCTGGATGTTCGGCCCCTCAGCTGTTGGCCTGCAGTAACTGTGGCCCCCGGAACAATTTAGTTGAATAGCCCTGTCATAAACTGACACTGGTGGAAATTCCCAGTCGGAAATTAATTCAGAATTCAAGATGACAGCCACTTATTATTATTATTATTATTATTATTATTATTATTATTATTATTATTAGTCTTATCATGGCTAGTCAGTGTTAGTTTTTGTTTTGTGTGCACTAACTATAGTTTGTAAAGTAACTAGCGTGTGAACCTCTGTACAGATGCTGCTGTGACACATGAATTGCCCCTCTGTGGGACAATAAAGGCTATTCTATTCTATTCTATTCTATTCTATTCTATATATCCTCATTTCACATACTATGTATAGTATGTGCAGCTATTATTACTATCAGGTGAAATTTGATGGAAAATCCAACATAACAGAAATGAACAGAAAGGAGTGGAAAGATTGTGGAAAAAAAAGTTCCATGATTGATTGATATGATTGTTTTTAAGTTATTTTTCCAACTAGGGCAGCTTTTGTAGCAATATGTTATAATTCTGTAATACCTAACTTGAAAAATGAGGCTGATTCAACCTAAAACTTTTAACTTGTGTGTCTTGCTTGACTGAAACACCAGAGGATGACAATAGGTTGGACACACTTGACTCACAAACTAAATGTGCTCAAAAGAAAATCCACATCTTTGAAAAAACTATGTTTAAATGTAACGTCTCCACAATTTTAAACTGAGGATATATAAACCTCAACTATACACAGAGGATTCATATTACAAATCAATAAAAAAGGAAAGGAATGTAGAAAAACAGCCTTATTGCATTATTTCCCTCATATTTTAACTTGTGGGCTGACATTTTCCTTTTGTGTTCACAATAAAGTAAATATGATGAGATTCAAAACAGTGCGTCGCCTCCCAATAAATACACTGTGTCAAGGATTAGTTCATTTTATGAACAAATCAAAAACAAATGTTGGAAAAATTTACAAGTCTTGAAGCAGAAACTCGATGCAAAAATGAAATACAACCACGAGTAACAATCAGACACAGTGCTAAACTGAGTACTGCAGTGGGTTTCCTCCTAAAAAGTCGTCAGAAAACAAACTAGAATAGATTAGATTAGACTATAATAGAATAGAATAAACCTTTWTCAGCAGGGAAATTTACTTTTGAAGAAATAAAACTTTGATTTTGTACAATTCAGCTCTGAAAATCAAACAAAGGTCTGAAGATTATGTAATTCAGATTTTCTGTGAGAATTCACAGTAAAAACAGAAACACTTTGCTTTTTTGATTCAAACTAAACAGAAAACTTTGCAAAAGAAAATTTAGAGAAATTTGGGAGAACATCGTTTAATATAATAAGTCAAGATGTATGCACGATGATGTGAACAGGACCAGGTTATCCTCAAACAGCAGAGATGCAATCCTGAGGTTAAGAACAGAATCAGCGACACTGAAAGGACTGGACTCTCAACCTGAAGAGGTCTGATGCACTGCTGCCAATGTGAACCAGACACATGCACAGTTTGTCCGTCTGTCCGTTTGCTGCCGCTTATCCGAGGTCAGGTCTCAGGGGCAGCAGCCTGAGCAGAGAGACCCAGACTTCCCTTTCTCCAGCCACTTAGCCCAACTCATCCGAGGGAATCCCAAGGTGTTCCCAGGCCAGCTGAGAAACATAGTCCYTCCAGCGTGTCCTGGGTCWTCCTCTGGGCCTCCTCCCAGTGGGACGTGCCTGGAACACCTCACCAGGGAGGCGTCCAGGAGGCATCCTAACCAGATGAACCACCTCAACTGGCTCCTCTCGACGTGGAGGACCAGCGGCTCTACCCTGAGCCCCTCCCGGATGACTGAGCTTCTCACCCTATCTCTAAGGGAGAGTCCAGACACGCTGCAGAGGAAACTCATTTCAGCCGCTTGTATCCGTGATCTCGTTCTTTCGGTCACTACCCAAAGCTCGTGACATAGATGAGGGTAGGAATGTAGACCGACCGGTAAACTGAGAGCTTTGCCTTCTGGCTCAGCTCTCGCTTCACCACGACAGACCGGTACAACGCCCGCATCACTGCAGAGGCAGCACCAATCCGCCCGTCGATTTCCTGCTCCATTATTCACTCATTCGTGAACAAGACCCCGAGATGCTTAAACTCCTCCACTTGGGGCAGGACCTCCTCCCTGAGATTACTTTTGCTAAACTTATGCACAGTTTGTATAAGGACTGAATACTCGGGAAGCACACCCCACAGTGTACACTGGGGAAAAGGGTCAAATGCCTTCTCAAAGTTCACAAAACGAACATAGACTGGATCGGCAAACCCCATTCCCCTCGAGGACCATAGTGAGGATAAGAAGTTGGTTCAGTGTACCACAGCCAGGACGAACCTGCATCGGTCCTCCTGAAACTGAGGTTCAACCACTGACTGGGCTTTCTTCTCCAGCACCCCTGAACAGACCTTACCAGGGAGGCTGAGGAGAGTGAGTTCTCTAAGTGGAACACATCTTCTAGTTCTCCTTTTTAAATGCAAAACCACCACCAATCCAGCGAACTGCTCCTGATGTCTAATGGATGTCGTAAAGACATGTCAACCCAGAGAGCTCAACAACATCCAGAGACATGGAAGATGTGCTGATAGGATTAGGACTGAAAAGGTCCTTGAAGCATTCCTTCCATTGCCCAAGATTGGGACCACGAGATAATGTGACAGAACCAAAAATATCCTGATAAGAATCAAAACCTTTCAACAGAACATTCTAAAACCCAAAGTGTTTTCCAAACAAAAAAATAGACATAAAATTAGAGTATCTGCTTTGATTCTCATTAATTTGGTTTTACATTAAACAGAGTTCTAATGTGTTAAAAGAGCGTACCTTTGTGACAGACAACTCCTTGGATTTGGACTCGAACAGCTGCTCTAGTTTGGACGTGTCCAGTTTAATGGGCTCCAGTTTGGACCACATGGACTCCTTACAGAACTTATGACTCTTACACTGCCAGTCCACGGGACGCACCTCGTTCCAGAACAGACGGATGGTCTTCTTTTTCTTCTGGAACAGCGGCGCCTCCCCCCGGCTCAGGTGAGGGGAGGGGGGAGGAACGGCAGCCATGAACGGAGGAGGCGGGGGCATCATTTTACCAAATATGGGAGGAGGCGGGGGGCACCCAAACAAGGGTGGAGGTGGGGGGAGGGCAGAGCCGCACGGGGTGGGGGGTGAGCCCATCACATTGTCCATATCTAAAATGTCCAAGTCGTCCTCGTCTTTTAGGTCAGTGAAGTCCATGTCTTTGATGCGCAGCTCCCTGGGTGTAGCCATCAGCTGATCCCAGATATGATCCGACTCTTTCTTGGGGGGTAACGCAGACAAGGCGGACGCTGACGGTTTGTCAGTCTGCTGCTCTTTAGAGGCCTCCACCTCCTGTAGGGACGTCAGGCCTTTGACCAAATCCCCAAACTTCCCCGCCACTGTTCGGACACTGCCATGGTTGTCCAGGTGTCCCACCTCCATTTTTTGCACAGTTTCCTCTCTGGCCTGCCTGTTCGCGTCCAGCGTGGAGATCCTGCTGACCAAACTGCTCACAGAGTCACTCGTCTCTTTCTCACGCGTGCATTTCTCCTTCTCGGATTCCCCCGCATCTCCCTCGTCCTCGGTGACAGCCTTCTGAGCGTAAAGCATTTCCAGCATGAAACGCTTGTTATTGAGAATCTTCTTGCACTGGTCGTTCACGTCCGCGTCTTCTAGAGCCCACTGACCTGTTTATAGGGAAACAAGTTTTACGAGTGAAACATAAAAAGGAGGGTTTTGTTGCCAGAATGGACCAAGATTTAGGCAAAAAGGAGGTAAACTTAAGATTAAAACTTGACTTTTGATTAATAAAAGGACAGAAAAAGAGAATAACATGACATGAACTGGAACCAACAGGAGGATCTGACAGTAAAGTATAAAAACAAGAAGCAGATATGTTGGCATGATTACTAACCAAACTATGACAATGAGCCTCGTGTAAGAAGGTTCATATTCTTATCCTAAATTTCTCTTATTTTTGTTTGTACGAACGTGTCAGGTCAAATTCAACAAACTCTTCTATCTTCAGGAAACGTGTATAAATGAGCAGCGTATACTGATGAATGTCTATCAGGTGTTCGCGCACGAGCAGAGGACATTTGCTTAATTACCACCCTGAAAACACCATATAAGGCTATACACTTCCTGCCCCAGATACCAGGAAGTGTTCATTCATAAATGACATCACAAAGTAAAAAGGAAAACTTCACGAGTTCAGAGATTGAAGTCCTGCTCTCAGAGATTCAGAGATCCTTTTTAGCAGCGTCAGCTGTGGAATTAAAGGAGCTGCTAAAGCCGAGGTATGAAATGATTGCTGTTAATGTCATGTCTCCTGTGGGTCGTATACAGTCACAGAAATAAAAATCTAAATCATATTCATCTCTCTCTAGTCCTGCTCCAGTTTTCCTTTGGTCAAATATTTTTAATTTCAGTGCAAACAACTGTGTTACATAGTTTTCATTTATTCGGAGGAAGAGCAGTCGCTTCCCCACCGCTAACCTCCCCTGCAAGTGTCAGATACATTTACGGAAAAAAAAGCATTTTAAAATGTCTCCAAACTTCAATTAATACTTTGTTTACGTTAGTTTGTAGTTTGAGATCTTCATATTAATAATACAACAGCATTAATAGCCAATTTAATTTAATCTAAACAATTTATATCGTTATTAATACATTTAAAATTATAATTACAATTCAAACAGAATAGCCTAATGTCAACATAATTATGGAGTATGATTTTTTTTCAACTCAAAATATCTTCCAACTAATGAAATATAAAGTTATTAGTGAAGAAAATCCATCTAGATAACAGCAGACTGACTGCTGGTAAAATATAAGACAGGTCTGGACCACTCGTGAATTTTGTTCGTATCTGAAGAAAATCTTACAGTACGAGAAAATTGGTGAATGCCACAAATTCTGCTAAATCACTCGTACGCACAACTTAAGAACAGATCTGTTTGTACCAACGGTTCTTGAACGAGGCCCGTTGTGAATAAATCAAGCTGCAGTTGTACCTGCTTTCATGTCATTGGTGATTTTCTCCTCCCGCTCCTCCCTCTCCAGAGTGCTGCTTGTAGAAGAAATGCTGGAGGCAGAGCAGTTGTCCTTCTCATTCATTTCCTCATTCTGTCTCTCCTTCTCACTCAGCAGTATGCTGTCTTCTACATCCCTCCCTGCCAGCTGCACCTTCTCAGTCTCCTCCTCTAACTCCACGTCCACCTCCATCTCTCTGACCTCTGCGACGTCAGCTGCCTCCTCCGTGCTCTGCTCTGTCCCCTCGTCTCGCGTCTCCTCTCCCCCTCTGCCCGACTCTTCCTCCGGCTGCGCTGCTRCATCCTCATTAGCTCGAGTCTCTGCAGCATCTTCGGCCTCTGCATCGGTCTGCTGTTTGTCTGCTTCTGAGGGAGGGGCTGGGGAAGGTCCTGCTGCTGATAACTCAGGTGCACAACTTTTGGGTTTGCTTTGGGGGTCGAGCTTTGGACCTGAGATGTGTTCTTTTGCTGGGAATGAAACCAAAACAATGGGCAATCTATGGATTCTTTAAACAGTGCATTGGCTCACAAAATCCATTTAAATGCAAAAATATGCTAAATGTTCCCTTTATCTTTTTATTCCTGTATGCCTTTATAGTTTACTGGATTTATAACTAAACATATTTAATATTTACAGAATTATATTTCAAACCATCAAGTGGCTCAGAAGAATCACTGTTTGATTATTAGGACATGTAACTGTGCTCTTGTTGAATTTTGCAATAACAATATCAATGATGTTAAACCAACTTTTATTTATTTTACGACAATAAATGACTGGAATATAACTAAAAATATTGAATTTAACTAGTAGTGGCCAGCTAACCCTAAAGCACTAACTCAAATATTTAAGTCCCCTATTTCTAAAGCACTAACACACAGAAAAATTTAGCAAAAGCTAATTCTAAAGCACTAATATAATCCTGTTGACACATGAAACATTCTTCAGTCAACATGAGACAATATTTACTGTGTGCAGTATGTTGTCACTTGGTGTCCTTGGTGGGCCAAATGAGAGTCACCTTAGGCCACATTTGGCCCGTGGGCCTCGAGTTTGACACATGTGACCTTGTAGATAAGTGACACATATGAACAAAATGTGTGACAGTTTTCACCTTAAAATGTGAACAATAATGTTGATCAATGACATTTATAGACCTCAGTTAGTGCTTCTAAAGCCCATACCTTTAGGAAGTGCTAATCAACTAATGAATTAAAAAATAGCAAAAGTCCTAAAGCACTAATCAGGAAATTAGTTCCACTRTTAGTGCTTTAGGGGAACTGTGTCCACCACTGGATTTAACTGAAATTTGCATAAAAATGAGTTCCTAAAGACACCTTCTACAAATCTCAGTGCCTGAAATGACATTAAATCTTCCTAATCCCTCTTTTTATCCATGTTTTCTAACTTTTGATTTATAACTCTGATGATTTCCTTTAAAACTAAACATTTTTCGCTGCCCGCTGCTATTATTTGAAGGTATCGAAATACCTTCAAATAATATTTGCAGTCATATTAAAGCTTAGTTGTTCAGGTTTTTTTAATTATAGAGTTTAAATTCTTAATGAGGTCACTCCAGACCATTAAGAATCAAGACAACAAACTGGCAGTCTTGTAAGCAAAAGGCCAGGTGATAAATTGAAAGAAATCACTTTTTTTWAAAAAACTGAAAATAACTTAATATTGATATTTTGAACAGGTTACAAATAAGTATTGTTCAGTTCTCTTGTGCAGGTTGGGACTGTCTTTTCCAGCATTTCTACTAAATAAATATCAAAGAGTCAAATTTATTTTACCTAAATGTGGTTTAGGCGTGATGGCGGTGTCTTCCTGTGACACGGCAGGTAAAGGTGTGACACAGCGCGAGGCGGAGCGGCTGGACGGTGTCGGACTCAGGCACAGCGTGATCTCGGTTCGCCCCCGTGTCGGCGCTCTGGGGCGCTCTCGCTCCAACTTGTCGGCGGCGAAGCGCTCGGCTGCTCTGAACCTGCAGCAGAAGAACGAAGCCTACAGATGTTTGCACACTGTGGGTCAGAAACTCTACGATCTCAGCTCTGCCACTCGACACTGCGGCATTACTGGTATGTTCCTGAGAACTGCAACTGAATGAAACCTTGTTTGGATCAACTGAATGAACGTTGAGTCTGGTTATTTTCTAAATCACATTTAATAACTTCCAGTAAACCGCTATTTTATAAAATGTCAAGCTTAAGAAAATATGACATTTTTGAAGAATGAGAGCCTTATATAATGTTGATGGTATCAGTGAATATTAGCCATTTATGCTGTCTCATTCTAGGAAAATGATGGGAAATGGAGCCATAATCTCATTACTCAGACTCAAATGATGACGAATGACATCCACCTTTTATTAAAGTGCTGCAAAGCATTTTTGGCTATTAACTACTGATTTAGGCTTGGGCATGTTTTCAAACTAATAACATGGATGTTCAAGTTTACAAAACCAAGCAAAAATAAAGATTTTAAAAAAAATATCAATAAACGTACCTCTCCTCTCTGGCTTGTCTCATTTCTTCCCTCTTCTCTCCATAATCTCGACTAAGACAAAAACAAACAAACGAGAGCTTGAAATAAAAAAACACCGCACTTAGATGGAGACTTTCATTTAAATTTGTAATCTGCTTTAACGTTACTGATATAGTCTTGGGTTATTACAGAGCTATAATGTATGAGAAGARCATATGTTTCTGCTGAGCCATCCCGTCACGATTCAGCGAGCGTAACGATCGTCATAAATAAAGCCCAGCTTGTCTCAGCCTCTTGACAAATTTATGCACATCTCTGCCAACAGCGCAGAGTGAAGACTGTATGTTCCTCTATGACATAAACTCCTGCTGTGGTTAGTGAAACCCGTAAGAGGAGACTAACTTTAAGCGGTTCCTTTCTTCTCTCTCGATTCTCTGCAGCCGCTCCTCTCGCTCCAAGCATCTCCTCTCTCGTTCTGCAGCCAGAGACTCCTGATGCTGCCTGTAGGAAGATGTGAGCAAGCTCCCAAAACTAGATCTGCTTGTAAAYGACAAAAGAAAAAAAGTTACGTTTGTTTGTTTATTTATTTATTTGCCACAAAATGTTCTTAGCTGTGCTGAAGTGGATGCTGGTGGGACTGACCTGCCGGGTTTGGAGTCCAGTGTGGACGGCGCTGAGCTCGAGAGGCGATGAACGGGTGATGTGGGAGTCTGGTTTCTGTCAGAGAAYGAAGAACCTCCAGCACTGATTCTGTTACAGAACAGGAAGAGACGACTCAGTTTTTTGTTCTTTTCTAATTTGTTTGCTGCAACAAAAAGACAGAAAATGACAAAAAAAAAAAAAAAAAAAACTAGATACTGCACAGCGGTAACATAATGACYCGCGCATGCAGAAATGTACCAGAACTCAGAAGTCTTTATTCCTAATAAATGTCATGTTACTAGGTGCATCCCAAAATTGTAGTGGTTTGGGTGGGGGTCTTTGGGAGGGAGGTGCTCAGTGTTGGACCTGAAGGATAGCCCCTCATCAGAGCCAAACAACCAATGAAAATCTGAAGCTCCTATGTTAAATAGTGTCATGGACTAATTATTTATATCTGTTTCACCTTGACACTGTCCACTGCTCATATCTTATGATAACTTATGTCGGCTCTTAATCTGTTTGTTCCAGACGTCAGGACTCCAGCATCGGGCTGACCTCTCTCGTTGCGATATGTTAACTCTTTGAGCTGAGAGCCTGTCATTGGCTGATAGTAACATGAGGCGGATTGTGACTGGTTGTACATTGTCACATGGTGTTAACATGAGGTTATATCATTGGTCTGCCATTTGATGACGGTGGCCACATTCGACAGACTTCCATGATTGTTTTCTGTTCATTGTTGCCCAGAATTAAATAATTATCGACCATACACGTAGATTTCTTTTTTCTGTGCATTTATTTCAACGTGTTTCTGCATTTTTTAATAAACGTGTCCACGACAGTTTACTGGCGTTGTCGGCAGGTATTTTAGTGCTATAACCATTTTTGTATGTTCAGATACCCCTTTTCAGACAAATCGGGGGTCCGGGGGGCACACTGATAGCTTCATTAGAGCTAAACAACAACAACAAAAAAATCTGAAGCTCCTATGTTGAACAATTTCTGAGTTATAAGCATTTTTGCATGTCCATTCACCCCCTCTTTGAAAGGAGCCCCCTCCTCAAATATACGGTCTATCGTAAAACCGTTGGCGGGCGTAGTGTAGGTCGGACTCTTCTACAGTCCTGCCAAATTTCATGTTGATCGGTGCAGCCGTTTTTGTGCTACGGTTGACCAAAAATCATTGAAAAAAAAAACAAAAACCAAAAACACCACAAAAAAAAAAACCAACAAAACAAAACAAAACAAAAAAAAAACAATATGACTCCTGCTTATTTCACGTGCGGGGGTCATAATAATAATTAATTAGCTGATAATCCAAAAATCTGACCTGTTCTTCGTTTGACTTTGCGTTCTTGTTTTTTAATTTACTGATATTTTCACTTTTTATTTTTACAGTTTTATTGTTGTCTGATTTCAGGCCAGGAATGCTACAATTAAATCTGCAGACTGACTCTGTTAACAACCAGGTGTTAAAGTCCTTAATTAAAGCAGTTATAACACATAAACAATATAAATGGTTTGTTTTACTAAGTTTCAGATGACTTTAGTTCATGACTGGATTTCAAACTTTGCTGAATTTCTTTGTTTACTTTAACTATTTATTAAGCAGATGTTTTATACAGTATTGCTGTATATAATTTATTGTTCTATTCTCTATTCTGCTTAGATTAGGTGGGATATAGGAAAAAACTTGAAGGTTTGTGCCTAAGGGAAATGAGGTTTTCTGATGTGGTTATTTTATTCTGCTCTGGTTAGTACTGTGTTTTAATTTCAGGCTGTTTTATTTGTCTTGTTTATATGTTGCATTTGTCTGATAGTCTTCATTCTTTCATTACATATAGTTGTTTAGTTTAAACATTTAACTTAACTGTTGTCTAAAATTTACCCAATTTGGACAAAATCAGCAATAAATGGTTTTTGTTTTAAATTAAGGTTTTTCATGTGTTTAACCAAATTATTATATTCTCTAAAATGCAGTTAAATTTTATTTTGTTTTAACTTTTAAGTCATTTAAAAGACATTTTTGTAACAACTGTTGAAAATTAGGGTTAATTTTTGTATTTTCTACATGTATTTGTTTCTCATAAAAACAAAACTGAATAAATGGATGGTTAGTTTATTCTAAGGAAAGGCTGCAGGGAGAAAAAGAACTTTTCTGAGACATTTATATACAGATTTCAGCAGTTTCCCTGCAAATATCCCAATTTATACATTAAATATTTATTTTTCACTTTTCTTTAAATATGATAAGCAATTCATTTTAGGAAAGTATACAAATATTAAAATGCTCAAAGCCAATGATGGTAATAAATACTCTGGAGGCTCATGTTGACCTATCGACTCACCTTTCAGCCCAGCAGGGCCTTCTGGCTGAGTAAGCTGTAGCAGGTTTAGTTTCTGTCAGACTGAAGATAGAAGCAAGAAAAGTGGTGAAGTCAGACATTAAGAAGACAAAATATTTAAAAGTCAGTCATACAGTGAAGTTAGTGAAGCAGCAGGGTGAGGAGGAAGGGCTAAATGAACACAAAAAGCATTCTGCAGTTGTGGCTTTGAAAGTCACCTGACTCTGCTTTAAGTTGACGGATGGAGGGAAAGAAAAAAGAAGGGTGGAGGTGTTTGGTGGGGACAGACTAAAAGTGAGGGTGTGTGGAGCCAGTCAGGGGATGATGGGAACACACCAAGGACTAAAGGTCCTCTGTTTAGGTGCGACGGACACAGGGGAGGAGGTCCTGGTCTTGGTGCTGAGATAGTCTCTCTGCTCTTCGGGATCACTGGCTCTAGGGAGGATGTTGGCCATACACTTTAAGTTCAGACACATGCTAGGAGTGTCTGCTACATCTGGAACCACACTAAGGGTGACAAAATACAAGAGAGTCTGAGTCCAGAGAGAATAGAGAGGATAATCAAACTTAGACTGAGGGAGACACCGGGGAGGAGAAATGAGGATCTTATTTTAGGGAAACCAGCTGGACTCAGATACCTGTGAGCGCCCTGTCTAGAGGACTCAGTGACTGGATGACTTTCATCATCTGCCTCCTCCTCCACATCATCATCATCATCATCATCTTCTTCTTCTTCTTCTTCTTCGTCTTCCTCTTCTCTACGGCGGGAGGAGGGGTCACGGATTGAAAGGAGGAACGGGAGGCGGGGAGCGGGAATTTGACAGAGACGTGAAACCACAAATGAATGGTCCAGGAGAAACAGTTCACAGACAGGAGACACTAGGGTTGGGCATCATCATATCGTGTGCAATTAATCGTCAGAAAAAACATTAATCGATTCTTTTTTGGCACTTGACTATTAATACGATTAATACCACCAGGGAGAGTGACTGGGGATTCCTCCAGTCAGTCCGCTCGGTGCTCCTCTCCGCTTCAAATATGATGAACATTAAAAAAAAAAGTTCTGTAATTTTTTTAATTATCAACACAATTTAAAATTTGATGTGTAGCCTGAAGTCTGTAATTTTGACACAATTTGGAACAGATTTTTATRAAGAGAAAATCTTTCCCACTAAATTGGTCATGTAACCAGGACATAAGGGCGTCCAGGGACTCCAGGGGATTAATCGTCAAATTAATTGTTATCGGCTAAATACCACAATTAATCATGATTAATTTTTTTTTTGCCAATTTTGCCCAACCCTAGGAGACACACATGCTTGTCAAAGTAAAAACAAAAAACACGTTACATCTGTTAATGCCAAAAAGACTGAATGTTAACAAGTAACATTAGTACGATGTCGTCTGGAAACATTAGTGACAGACTTGCAACATGCAACAAAAAATTCCCCAACAGGCCACGAATCCAACATGAACAGATTAATTAAATAAAAATTTGCCCTGATTTTATTGAGATTTWAGATTTAATCTAATCACCAGGATTATTTATGTGGAGCTATCAGGTCTGGCTGAAGTGAGCTGAGTGAGATCGTCACGTGTGAGCACGTTGCCAGTTTGCTATCTGGATCCCTCTCAGTTGTCTGGATTTCATTAACAATATGGAAAATAGTGATCTTCAAAGGCAGCTTGAATTTCCTGTGGTAGACTGGACGTGGATCGCCTGGTATCAAATGACCTGCTGGACTGAATTTAGTAAACCTGAAGACCTGACGTCTGCCAGGAACATCAGTAGGTATGCTACTCTGGACTGTGTTAACGGAGCTGTAATGAGACAGAGTCCAAATCAAAGCTTGGCCTTGTGTAAAAAGTGAAATAAAAGGTTTGTATACTCTTAATCAATCTTTAAAGCCTTAAAGTACCTGTGACAAGCATATTCTTCAAATACAAAAAGTCAAAGAAAACATCTTTATATTTAAGAAAGTTGGAACAATACAAACAATTTAACCCATTTTGTCCCATAACTGGCATATTTTCTTTTGAACTCAGCCAAAGTGAAACAGGAAGTGACATCAAAGGGGAACTCTTTAACAAAGAAAACTCTCTGGTCTTTGTTTATTGAAACAATATTATTTAAACTCTCTTCTTCATCTCTGATAGTGACTCAAACTAATTTTAAGAAACATCAGATTCTTCTCTACAGTCTGTGTTATTAGCTGTTAGCAAAGCTCTGTTCACATGCAGACATTCCCCTTTGACATCACTTCCTGTTACTTCACAGGCAAATATCTCAACAACTTTTCATCTCAGCGACATGAAATTTCTTTTGCAATATTTTGTCAACGTCCTCTTTCTAAAAATGCACTCATATGTATTACAAAAATTTGACATCACAGGCACTTTAAAGGTTTCTTTAAAGGGGACATATGCAAAAAAAAGTTTAGCTGTAAATACATTTTGTTGTGTGTTTGGATCTCTAATAGTGCAGGAAATTTGAATTTAGTCTCCTCTTTGACCAAAACAAAGAAAAAAATGTTGATTTCAATGTCATTTTGTAGCAGCAGTCTCCTACTTTTCATTCTTTCAAATACTAAATTAATAAAATTCTCAGCTCTGACTCTAGATAAAGTGGACTGATTTGTAATCCTCAGCTTTCGTAAAGCTGCTTCTGAGAAAAAACAATTTGCGGTCTACTTGATTTTGTTTCTTTCAGACATTTCCCAGACTTTAAATACAAGCTCAAACCCACCCCCCCACCAGATAAAGTCAGATAAAGTTCGAGTCAAAGTGGAGGTGCACTGATAAAACTTTCAGAAACAGTSCTCTGCACATCTCTCCCCTCACCTCTCACAGATGTCTTCCACCCTGCCGCCACCAGCCGACAGGAAGCTGGAGTGAATTTGAGGGCTGCTGGGAGCAGCTGAGGCCGAAGCGTGGTCTCTGCCGTTCTGAAGCGAATGTCTCCGGCTCCGCCTCCTGTCCAGGCCCCGCCTCTCGTTGGTGCAGCCGACGCTAGCCCTCCGCCGGTCTTTCCTGCCGTTCGGCGGCAGCTGCGCTTCATCATCCCCGTCCTCGTGACGAAGAGTCATCTGAATCAAACAGGCACTGAAGTTCAAGCTGTTTCATAAATCACAGCTGCGGTACACATGTTCGGCTGCTGCCTGGCCTTTTTTAAACCAAGCCAAAATAAATCGCACTATAATATGACATAATAATGATTAGTAGTGTGGGCTTCCTGACCTCGTAGATATTGAACTGTTCTGTAAGATCGAGGTCGGTGCCTTTTCTGCTCAGGTGTCTCTGGGCTGTGGCTTCAATACCCTGCTCCTCAAGACAGTCCACCAGGTCATAGTACGAGTCCTGGTCCGGAAGGCCTGCCAGAGTCTGAGAGACAAACATCTCATTAGAAACACAGGTTTATAGATTAATCCAACCCATTCCCACTCCCAGCTCGCCACATATTGACGCTTTTCCAAAGTTCCCTCTGCGTCCGGTTTTGACTCGTCAGGTACCCCCCTCCTGTCAGTTACTGATGAGATGGGGCAGAATCTGTTGTCTTAATTTCAGAAAGTGTACAAAATGCACAAATCTAACTGTCCCAAAGCCTGAAATTACCTTTATTTGCTCTAGACCAGAGATTCTTAACCTATGGGCGCACCACCTTGAGGGCCACAAAAGAACAACAGTTTTTATAATATGTATTTCTTTAGTTGAACAGCAGTTTATTACCTTATTAATGAGTGTCATTGCAAACACCAGCAGCTCAGTATCCACACCATCCTTCTCCTCCAGGATCTCCATGATGTTTGACCATAGTTTTGTATCTGYGCGACAAAATACGTGCAAGGAATTGAGCAAAACATGACAAACTCCAAACCAAACAGCCTTCACTTCAAGATTTATACAGACAAGAACAAAATCCAACCCATCTGTTGGTCTTACAGGACAAAAAAATGGTTCAGAACCACCTCTTAGCACAAAAACACAAATATGCCATGGCTCCAGTGGGAGAGCTGCAGTTATGAGCTCTTGAAATGTGGCAGTGGAAAAACAAAATGTTTTTATCTTCAAAATAAATAAATAAATACATAAATAAATAAATAAAAATAACCTCCACACTTCAGTCATGGATTCAGCTTTCTGCAGGCAGCAGCTTCTAAGTAAAGTTAAATTCATTAATAAATACAGACCAGTTCAGGATAAAGATGTATTCTTCTTCTGCTACCTTTCATTTTATTTTGATTTGTATGTTTTCTTGGTTTATTTTTTGTTACTGTATATAGTTATTTTTTTAATGAAATGAATAATTTTTTTTGAATTGAAAAAAAAAAGCAAAAAAAAAAAAAAGATATGCTAGCATCCAAAAAGCTACAAAATAAAAGTTTAATACCTTCAGGTGACTCTTTACGATTCTCTATTTTTAATCTCTGAGAAATTATTTTTATTGCAAAAACAGCAGTTTAACCTTTACATTAAAAAAAACATATTTCTTTAGTCTTACCTCTTTTTGCATCCACAGTGTTCACAGCCTTTATGAGCAGGGCAGCATTACTTTCTGTGTACTCCACAAAGACCAGCAGCAGCTTTAGAGACGTCTTAACCACCAGACGAAACTACAAAAAGAAATAAAAAAAAACAGATAAATGCTGAACTTGAAGGACTGTTAACCATGAATCAGCAGGAATTATTATTTTTTCTATCCAAGTGCTTCATGTCATGTCGATGTAGCAGCTGTTTCCTGTCTTAACAGTCTTGAAGTTAGATAACGGACATAGACAGCTAACTGGATCCTGTTTATTTCAGGCCCTTATCAAAAATAGGAACATAAGAAAAAAAAACAACTATGAATGAACCAGAGCCTGAATATGGCAAGCCAAAAACGACACAAATGTTTAGAAACTTACAAAAACAAAATGTGTGGAAAGGTTTGTGATTAAATACTAATGCTAACAGGAGAGATGGAAAAATCAGGGGTGACAAAACAAGAAAAAAAAGATCACTTGTGATAATCAGCTATAATCAGTGCAGTGACTGTGATGAGACGGCTCTACTGATCATGGTCAAAATGTTTATTAATAATGGATGTTTGCCATACAAGATGATTGGGATGACTGGGGAGCAAGAATTTCATTAAAAACAATAATGCAGAAGCCAAGAATTCTCTCAATATTTATATGGGAAGGAAGAAAAAGAACTTATAGGAACAAAAAAGTGAGGAAAGAAAGAAAAACATGCTAAAGAAGCTGTGAACCGCCTCCTCGTGTGGCAACATGGCCACCAGGGGGCTGAAGYAACCAGAATGACAGGAGGATTGTTTTCATGGTTTAATCTGTTCTGTAAGAGCTATAATGAGATGACAGAGATGAGATTAAAGAGTCTGCAGTTTCATTACTTAATGAAGAGCTTTTAACGTTTCTTACCTTTGATCCAACCAAGCTGTAGAGCCACTGGACTGTTTCATTGTGACATATGAGGCCGTTCATCCCATCAACATACAGCATTATCTGACCCAGAGCTGCACAGACAAAATAATTAAATTAAATTAAATTAAAAAAGAAAAAGAAAAACAAGAGGCATAAATATGAACAAGAGTAGGATTAGAAGGAACGGATGATGTTTGGTTCATCTTCTTTACAAAACAATAACAGCTCACTCCGGGTTGTGACAGAATGAAAGAAATTCACAACTAACTCTGCAAAGGAACTGTTTTACCAACTATATATTATAAAACAATTAAATCTGTTAAATCTGGCGGCACAGCGGCTCAGTTGGTAGAGCTGGTGCCTCTCAGCAAGAAGGTCGCTGGTTAAAAATCCTGGTCCAGAGACCTTTCTGGGTAGAGTTTGCATGTTCTCTCYGTGCATGCGCGGGTTCTCTCCGGRTACTCCGGCTTCCTCCCACAGGCCAAAAACATGACTRTTAGGTTAATTGGTAACTCTAAATTGTCCCTAGGTGTGACTGAGAGAGTGAATGATTGTTTGTAGCCCTGTGATGGACTTGCAACCTGTCCAGGGTGTACCCCGCCCCTCGCACTGTGACTGCTGCATATGGGCACCAGTGACCCTGAAAGGAATAAGCGGGTACAGATAATGGATGCATAAATCTGTCATTTGTCAAACACAAAGAGTCACTCGCACAAAGGCAATCACTCACTATTAAAATTGAAATATGTTTTTAATCTGCTAAAAGTAGAAATGTTTGGGATGTGTACACAGRGATTTTTCTTTGCAYGATAGAGCTTTAAAGTGCCTCTGACATGCATCTCACTCAAATACAAAAAGTAGAAGAAAACATCTTTATATTTAAGAAACTTTGCATATTACACACACTTTTACCTATTTTGTCACACAACTGGCAGATTTTCTTCAGGATTTGGCTCAGCCACAATGAAACAGGAAGTGACATCAAAGGGTACCTCTTTAAGAAAAGGAACTCCCTGTTTTTTTATAGTAACAATATTATTTGAACTCTGACTCTTCATCTCTTTGATAGTGACTCAAAATAATCTAAAGAAGCATCAGGGTCTTTACAGTCTGTGTTGTTAGCCTTGTAGCAATGCTCTGTTTACATGCAGACATTCCCCTTTGACATCACTTCCTGTTACTTCTCATGCAAATATCTCTACAAATGTTCATCTCAGCAAAGTGAGATTATTTTTGCAATATGTTATCAATGTTGTCTTTCTAAAAATGCATTCATATTCTTTGCAAAAAATTGGATGTCACAGACACTTTAATATTTGTTGAGGCACAAAGTGAAAACACAAAAAAAAATTATGTATCCTTCAAAATTTGTTATCTGTTTTTAGCAACATTAAAGTGYCTGTGACATTAAATTTAAGTGATATATTTGAGTGCATATTTGGAAAGATAACATTCATGATGAATTGCAAACAGAAATTTGTGACACTGAAATGAACAATTGTTGAGATATTGGCATGAGCAGAAACAGGAAGTGATGTCAAAGGGGAATGCCTGAATGAGTTGTTACAATGGTTAACAACAGTCTGCAAAGAATCAGATGTTTCTGTAGATTATTTTGAATCATTATCAGATGGATAAAGAAGAGTCAGACTTATAAAAACCAGGAAGTTACCCGTTTTTAAAGAGTTCCCCTTTGACATCACTTCCTGTTTCACTTGGACTGCACCAAGTTTAGCAAAAAAAAAATGCACGTTTTGTGACAAACTGTGTAAAAGTCATATGAATGATGCCAAATTTCTAAAATATCAGGATATTTTCTTTAATTTTTTGTAATTGAAGAAAAAGCATGCCACGGGCACTTTAAAGGTAAGACCTCTACTCAAAAACAACATAAAATAAAAATAATAAAGTTGGTGAAAGTGGAACACACATGAAAACTAGAAGTCATTTCAGATGCCAACACATTTACATTTAGATGGATTTAGTTTGAGCCCACAGTGTGAATGATATTTTAGCTGATTCAAGAGCATAAAGACTCAGGAACTGTAAAAGAGCACAAGAAGGAGGAGAACATGCTTCAAGTGGAACATTTTGGTGGGTCTAATTCTTGGCAGGAGTTATGACTTTGAGGTTAATATGTAAAAAAATATATATTTCAGTAAAGTGTGGTATTCTTGTTTTTTCCTCATGTTCGATCCAGTTCAGAGATACATCAGAGGATCTGCTGCAAAGGTTGTCATAACAAAGCCTTTGGGTTTGATATCYAAGCAACAACTCAATAAACAGACTTACAGACAGAAAGACTAAAAGTACAATTGAATCTTTACTGTATTTAAGAGTTTATGACATGCTCTAATGAAAACCTGCAGTTTCTCTCATACATGTTTTTTTTCTTTGTTTCTCTCCTGGGGTATGAAAACCATAAATACGCTGCAGATAAGCCAAAATTCCCAGGTGCAGCTGCTATGTGTACATGTTGGGTGAGTGTGCACGTCGACCTCAGTGTGTTTGTACATGGTGATGTCCCGCTACAGCGACAGTTCATCTTTTATCAATCAGGGTTCAATACTAACATGTCGGGTTAAAGCGGTGCAGAAACTGACAAACTGACGTATCAAAGCAAAATGCTTCAGTTTGCACAAGTATTAAAAGTTCCTTCATGTTCTGCAGATTAGAGTCACCTCTGTTTGCAGACTGCAGATAGACACAAAGATGTCTGAGGTGCTATGCAGAAGTCCAATTTAAAGGGATAGTTTGTATGTTTTAGGTTGTCCTAACTACTTGACACTGGTTTGGAGGGGAGAGACAAAATTTTGTTTGATATTCCAAACTCAGATTTCTACTGAAGCATAGGATACTACGTTATCCTGCTTCCAGTGTGACATGTCCTTTGTGTCATCCTGGGAATGACTTGCTCATTAAGGCTGCGTCACACTGCAAGATTTTAAAACAGTTGGCCGATTTTCAAAGACTGACAGAGCCCACACGTGAGGATAAATAATCATGGATGTACCAGGTTTGGTTCTACAGTGTGTGGTTGTAAAGCCACATGGCGAAAAATGAAAAGATATTTCATTCATGAACATTCAGATGTCAGATATTAAATCACGCGAGACTTCCTGAAATCACGCAAGAATTCAGATGTCAGGGGAAAAATCTCACGTGACCTACAGAGAGACGTGAGTTTAGAGTAAATTAACATTTGTAACAGGGAAGAAACAATGTTGATTGTTTGTAGACTATTTTTACCAGAGGAAAAACAATTCCATTAGACTTTTAACATCCAGCGGACTTTCTGGTGAGTCATGACAGTTTTTTTTTTGCGTCATCACGATAATCTGGACATCCTTAAGATTGTCGGAAGGGCCAGAATTTAGCACAATTATCCTGCCGTGTGACGCAGCCCTTACTTGTGTCTTCTCTTTACAGTAGACTGGCTGGAAAGGATTTAAAAGGAGCAAGCTCCACCTGCCTGGAGGAGCGAGGGAGGCCAGAGGAGACATGTTGGCGTGTTTCTCCTGCTCCTGTAGATGCCTCCTGTGGTTGCTGTCACTCTGTTGGGGTATTTTCTTAAATTTGGGAGTTACCGACAGTCCCCTTTTTCCGGTATTTGGTTTTAGGGCTAAGATCCTAGATCACAGGGGCGGAGTGGTTAGGGGAGTCGGCCTGTAAATGGAAGGTCGCTGGTTCAATCCTCCGTTCCAGCCTTGTCAGTCGTCGTGTCCTTGGGCAAGACACTTCACCCGCCTTGCCTACTGATGGTGGTCAGAGTGCCGCTGGTGCATAATATCCCCACCTCTGTCAGTGTGCCCCAGGGCAGCTGTGGCTACAATGTAGCTTACCACCAATYAGTGTGAGTGTGTGTGTGACTGGGCGAATGTAAGTGTAAAGTGCTTTGGGGTCTGGAGGGACTTGATAAAGTTCTGTATAAGTTCAGTCCACTTACCATTTAGGGTGAGGGGAGTGGTACCACTTTTTGTTCATTTGAGCCAAGGCTTGCAGTTCTTTTGTTCTTAAGACAAATGGTTATTAATTAAAAAATATTGTTTAAACATAAAGTTGGCTGGACTTAAGGACTCCTGAACATAAGGACCAGCTCCACATTCACCCATCTTATTACCTGAACACACACTCCTTGGTTTTCTTCATCTCTTTGTCAGATTCTCCTGTTCGCACTTATTACTAAGTTGTTTTTAAAGTTCAAATTGTGCTTATAAACCTGCGTCAGATGAATGGATTTGAGTGTACCCATTAGCCATTAAATGACAAGGACGATATTTCAAAAATGATTCATTTAAGTTACACAAATACAAAAAAGCTGACCTAGAAAACCATCAGTTCATATTTCTCTTTTGTGCATCTGTGTAAGGTGACGTTTGAAATGTCTCGTTTTATTTAAAGTCTGCTGAAAACAGAGGTGAGAAGCTTTCATTGTCATTAATGAGGCTTTTAAAAGTGTCATTACCCAACATGAATGTTGTTTGGCTGCTGACAGAGGAGACTTTATCAACCAGCCACTAGATGAAACWACTTCAGACCACAGTGACATGCTATTACAAGACGTTAAGGAACAATCTCACAAATAGGAAACGGGTGGTTTTCCTCACTGGACCGTGCAGCCAAGCAAAATAAAGTTCAAATGAATGTTCGTATCATATCTAGATTTAATTTAGTGAGCAGTTAGGGACACAGAAACACTTCGGCCATTGAAGCAGTTACAAACCACACCAGAACCCACACAAGCATTACCTCCTTTCCCCTCGCATCGATCAAAACTGCTGCCTCATGAAATCCTTCATTACCAGCGGTCACTTACGTACAATTTCACATAAAGGGGCAGAAACCACATGGACTGAGCAGGGAGGGGAAAAATTATACTGTAACGATTTAAAGAAATTAAATTTCCCTTCATTACGAGAAACCTGAGAAACAAAGTAAAGAAATCTAATTTTCTAAAAACAATCACCTCTGTGAACTCCAAATAGGGTTGAAACTTTTTTTAAAATACAATATCCATAAAACTGGGGGCACTTACGTTACCTGTGTGTTGCAGTTAGGCAATTAAACTGTGACATACTTTTATAGTTTTTAC